CCCCAAAACCCCAAAACCCCAAAACCCCAAAACCCCATAATGTTAGCAATAATTGAAATGGAAATCATAAAGCCTGAACAAGTCGGTACTAAAGTCATAGAATCCAAGGAGAAAAGAGTGGATAGATCACAATTATCTCATCTAAATTTACCTGAAGATGGTGAAATCAACTCTAGCTTAAACAATCAACCTAAACCAGATCCTGGTAAAATGATTTCTAAAGAAAAGATTAAGATTAATATAGAGGACGATAGATCAAATAGCGAAAGTTTTAAGGCATTGACTCTTCATCCTGTTCAGAAGGACTTACCTTCATTTCGTCAGAACCTGGATTTAAAGTTAATCAAGCAACAAAACTCAGGATTAGACTCTAAACATATCCCAGTAGTGAGCTTCTATAAGTCCACTAGTAGCGTTAAAAGGTACTGCCCTGATTGTAGAAAAGAGAATATGACAAAGGTGTCCAAAAAGTATCCTCAAAAATGACTTATAGATGCACTGGCTCTTTCTGCCTAAAATCATTCCTAATCTATCCCCTATGCTGTGTTTTCTGCAGTGAAGGTACTCTCAAAGGATCATGCCTCCTATATAGGGTTCAGAGAGACCAATTTGAAGTACGTGCACAGATGTGCTGAATGTGGGAATGTCTTAGGAAACTCTCTTCAGAAGACTAATACTCAAAGGATCAGATAAAATCCCCAAAACCCCAAAACCCCAAAACCCCAAAACCCCATATAAGATCTTCAGCATTGAAATAATAATATCGAAATGGATAGAGATAAAGCAGCTGATATAGAAGGTATGTCAGAGTCTTTCAAAGCTAAATTTCTGTCCTGCTTAGGTGCTCTAGAACCCCTACTTAGTGGTGGAACTTTCTCTTGAGATGAAGTAGTCGAAATTTCCCTTAATCGATGATAAATTATCCATAATTCAAATGTGGGTTCATGGTAGCTTCGCCTATTTGAAGAATTAGCAAAGCACTCTGAAATAGCTTAGCTTTTGAAGAACTCTATTAATTTCACTCTAAAGAGCCACTTGGGCCAGGGATAATCTCTAGAAAAATATCCGATCGAAAATTCGTGTAAGGGAGATTAGCCCTCTTTAGTTTATTCCCAAATCGGACTCCCAAAAATCTATAATAGTATTATCCGAGCTACCTGACCTTTTCTTATTTTTTCAGATGCTTCAGCACTTTGTGTTAAAATTGGGATAAGTTTTTACTATTACTCAAGTTATCAAATTTTTGGATATTAGACAAGATCAGATACGTATGATTTATACATAGCATTTCAGATTATAAGTTAGCTATCATAATGAAACTCTTTCTAAGCCTGAAAGAGTCACTATAGAGACATTTCTCCTCCTGAAATTGACCTTATGGGTTAATAATATGTTACAAGAGAGCATGACTGTTTTCAACCATGGAACAAAGTCTAATCTCTGATTTAGATAAAGAATATTCGGAAGAATCTGTAGAAGATTGCCAACCTGATTCCGAGGATGACGAGCAGACCTATATCTACCAACTTGCTAAGATCAAAGATGAAAGGCTAAACACTGTAGTTGAAGCTGATGCAACCATGGAGAACTCAACTCTGACTCTGGATACGACTGAAGAAATTGATGAGAAACAAAAAGGATCTGAGAGAAAAGACCGTCCTTCCAGAAATGCTATGGATTCTGAGTCGAGTTATGAAAATTCTGATGAAGAGGGCAAAAAGGGAACTCTTGAAGTCCCTGAAAAAGATTTTAATGACGATGCATGTGAAAAATCTTCTCAAAAGAATAGTATCAAGAACTTTGCTTTACTTGGTATCCTAGGAGAGAGTTCTTTTGGAACTGTCCACCACGTTATATGTAAGAATGAAGGAAAGGAGTACGCATTAAAAATTATCTCAAAAAGAAACATTTCCCAGAAGCAACAAAACGAGATCCAAAGAGAAAGAAGTTTCCTTGCAGAGATCGACCATCCCAACATCGTCAAAATACACAAATGCTTCCATGACAAGACTAACTTGTACTTGGCGATGGACTGATGCCCAAATGGAGAACTTCATACTTTTATGAAAAATGAAGGGATACTTAACAAAAATGTAGCACAATTCTTAGCTGCAGAAATTGTTAATATGATCTCCTATCTAAAGGACAGAAACATTTGACACAGAGACATTAAGCCCAAAAACCTCGTATTTGATGAAAATATGCACTTAAAGCTCATAGATTTTGGATGTGGAAAATATTACAAGGATACAAAGTTTGAACTTCTACCAAAGCCTTCCCAATCAGGAGCTGAAGGAGGCAAAGAGTTCCAAAGAACTAGTACATTCTTAGGAACGTGTGAATACACATCGCCAGAAGTCGTCGGTGGAGCTTATGCAAACAGTGCAGCTGACTTATGGAGTCTGGGAGTCCTAGTTTACATGTTCTTCACCGAATACGCTCCTTTTAGAGGCGAGTACGACCAAGATACGCTCAATAAAATCTGAGAAGATCATCCCTTCTATCCTGAAAACTTCCCAGAAGATGCTCAAGACTTATGTACCAGGTTACTTGAAAAGGACCCGACCAAGAGACTTGGAGCTGGTGCCCCAGGAAGTGAAAACGACATGACTGCTCTTAGATCTCACAAGTTCTTTGATAATATCGACTTCGATAACTTGTTCGAGGCAACATCTCCGATTCCAAAAGTGGATAAGATGATGAACTCAATAAAAAGTAACATGATTTCTAAATATACCATTAAGAATAAATCAAAGAGGAAGAGACCAAAGTCTCCAGTGAAGGCTAAGACTTCTATTGACTTGAGCCACTTCAATGTTGAGCCACTTGAGACCCAGGATAAAATGAAGATTGAAGATTGGAAAACTGAGAAAAAGATCAATATTACTCACACAGAGTTGATCCAGCTCCGCTCCAGATTACTTTTCTTCTACAGATCTGTCATCTCATTGACCACGGATGAACCAGCTCTGTACATCTATGGTTTGAAATCAGGAGTTTTAAGAGAGCGGTACGATCTCAAAAACTGTAAGATCAACATCAAAGGGAAAAACAAGATCAAGCTTGCTTCCAAGACGAAGGAGAAGTACAAGAAGATCTCTAATGCTTTCAAAATTAAGAAGCATCAGAAGCATCATCGGGACTCTACTAATCCGAAAGGACTGGTAGATGTTCTCAAAGAAATTAAAACTCAATAATTAGTCCGTAAATATTAAACTAAACATACCTGGGTGGGAAATCTCTCCAAATTTGTAAATTAGCCATTGAATAACCTTTGGGATACCTATTAAAAGTGTCCCGTTCCTATGCGACAAAATAGCAATGGTGACTATTTGGAGACTTGACCCTTAAATATGGGAGAATATACATTAGCTAAACAAGTGTAGTCATCACCTCTTTGGTAACAGAAATGTTCTAGAAGCCAAGCCGATATTGGGAATATGTAACCAGACCAGGATATGCCAAACCTAGGAATATTCCTAACACTTTCTGGAAGTAATTGGTTGATTTTTAAGGGTAAGATTGGTATAATAATATTTCAGCCCTCGGCCAATGGTCTGGGGTTTTGGGGTTTTGGGGTTTTGGGGTTTTGGGGTTTTGGGG